TGATTGTAAAAGTTTGCCGGATAATGTATACTTACATTGATATAAACTAAGTTCGAAAATCGGTTTTCTGTAAATGCTCTGAACAGTATTCAAATGAACCAACCTAGCATCACCCAAAAAATCAGTTATGTATCGGGATTTAAAACAATTAAACATCGGCACTCAGATAATGATCAATTGACTGATAACTTTGTATGCAATTATCGATCGTTACAAATTTTTATTTAATATTTTTACGTTTTTTAATAAAATTTATATAAGCCAGCATTATTTAATTATTGACTAAAACAAATTTAGCATTTATAATAATTACATGTTTGAAAAAACGTAAAATAAAAAGAAAAAAAAATTTTATTCCAACTTTTTTTTTTTAAAAAAAAAACTATTGCCAATAAAAAGTATTAGAATTACGCCTATTTCATGTTTTCTTCAGAGTTTTGGCATTTTCAAACTTTTCTAAATCATTCACCATTTTTTTAACGGGGTTCAAGTTCGTTTCAATAGAACTTAACCATTTTTTTCGTTGAGAGAGAATTTCAGATTTTTCAATAAACTTGATCGCCTGTAAATTAAATTTGTTATATTAATAATTATACTGTATAATATTAACAAATAAATTATATATATATATGTACCTTTTCTAGAACTGCTTTTAATTCAATTGCCTTGTTATTTGTAATTTCCATATCATCGTCACTAGTACTTGATGAATCATATTCGTCTATATTTAAATTAACTTCATCATGTTCTATTTCATGATTAGTTAATTCAACAGGTGAGTTATCACTATTATTAATAATTTGCCAAATTGATTGTGGAGCTTCATAAAGCAATGGATACTGGTTATTTCGATGTACATTTTTAAAAAATAAGTTTTCCATATTTTCTAATGATGCAACTAGATGTTTGCACAGAGGAAACCGGTTTTTAAGAAATGATTGACATGAGCAAATCCAACATGCATGGTCAGTAAGATACTTATTAGAATTATTTAATTCTCGTCCTACAAGTTTTTTCCACTCAGTCTTAAAATCTTTTCTCCAAGAAGGTTGGATTCTTTCAGTGACAAGAAGGTTATAACGGTGCATTAATCTTGGTAACATTCGATTAATTATAATGTGGCAAAGAATATCAAGGCGTGGGCGGTTAAATTTATGCAAAAAGTCATGTTTAAGAATTCTTCAATGAGATTCTAAGATCATTGTAGTACATATAATTGAAATGTTTTTGTAGGCTGAGAGGGCCCAAAGGCATCAACGGTCCCATTGGTACTATTTTAACCATAAATAGCACCAGACATGAAATAAATTATGCCGATAACAATATTGAAAGATTTTTTTTAGTTGCACATAACCAAATTTCTTTTGATGTTAAATCAAGTTCTTTGTCTGCCGTGGGAATTAGCATGTGATGATGAAAATGTGTATCAATATATTCTAATATTTCATTTCGTAAAGTTGCTTCTAAAAAAACTTTTTTTTTAGAGCTTGTATTATTATTTTGTACTGGTTACCATGATGGGTCAATTATTGAACACTGTTAATGTGCATTAGCAGCATTATAATAAGATGAATTACCATTATATTGTGAAAAAAATTTTTGTTCTATTGCTCATTGCACGTGCCACTTGTATAACTGAATCTCAACATCTTTCCAAATAACCATACCGCTACTAATTTGCGAAAAATCCTTGTCAGAAAGAATTACTTTTACCTCCTTAAGTTCATTTTCTTTTAAAAATTTAAACCATACAGTTATTGCTGTACGCATATCCTGTCCTTTTCTAGCTTCAATAAAACAATATGAAATTGAAAACCCTATTCCATCTATAATCGCTATTAATACATAAAGCTCGTATTTCAATTGGTTCGTATTATAAGTAGCATTGACCATAACTGTATTAAATACATCCCTTGGTAATTTGTTAAAAAACCTGTTAAGAAACTAAATACACGCATCGGCTTATCCAAATTAAGTATGATTTTATAACCTTTCTCACTTAAAAATAACTTTACAGATTCATATTGATCA